ATGAGCCCTCATATCTAATTAGTTTTGAAGCAATTATTTAATAGTAACACAAGGGATGAATCAAAAATATATTCTCCATTAATTATAAACTGACATAACTATACATAACTGACCCAATAATTTGCATTTTATATTTAATAGACAATAAGTTGGCATTAATTGTTATATATTTTCAAATTAAATGATTATTTATTACCAAGAATAACGATTGTATTAAATAATTTATTTTGAATACAACTAACAAATAAATTTTATAATGCAATTATATTTATTTAACTTTTTAAATTAAAGGTTTAGATATAAAATTTGTTTAAGTTTTAAATAAAAATATTTGTATACAGTAGATCATCCAGGTTTATTTGCAAAAATTTATCAAATATGTATAAAATACGTGTTGCAAAATACACAAACAATACTAAATTTGTTGAGTGATTGTGCAGAAAAAAATTAAAGACAGATTTTAAATTAGGATTTTAATTAATAAATAAATATTTAAATATATTATTTTTATTTTAATAACAAAACTTGGAGATATAGATTCTATACTATTCCATACAGAATTATAAAATATGATTTAAGGAAACTTAAATCTTGTTAGTGTACGAGTTTTAAATTTTCAATTACACAGTTTTAAAATTATATCAAATTTATTAATTTTAAAAGTTCTAAAATTGTATGTATTTGTTGAAAAAAATTTAAAGAAACTAAATTTCAGTCAACATATCTTTAAATATCAACTGAATTAATGACACAATTATCTAATATTATTATAGTCTGATTGTTAGGACATCTTTCGTCTTATATTTTACTTAATTTACGAAACTTTTAAAAATACTCAATATTTTACTATACATATTAAATTTTAAGAGTTAACAGCAAATAAGACAATTAAGTTATTAAACAATTTTTTATTAATAATAATTAGCAATTTAATAAATTATAATGTAATAAGGTACAACAAATTAAAAGCACTTTACGAATTAAATACAGAAAGTTTATAACAAAACGTTTTAAATACTTTGTAAATTTTATGAGTTTTGAATTTCAATTCTCATGTAATAGATGTCACAATCGTTTGTCACACAAAATCACATTAAAACTCGAGTTAATGATAACACTCAAAACTTTTTAAACTGTTTATTAAACAGTATATAACACATTTAATTAATTAAAACATAATTAAAACAAATAATAAATGCACATGATCATTTGGTACAACTGGACAATAAAATCTGGACAATCAATATAGCGTTTAACTGTAGGACCTGTTGAAGGCCTGACTTCATGTCTCCAGCCTTTCCTTAATTTACGGGACAAATAGCTGACGAATTGAGACAAACTTGGATTAAACGCCACGTTATTAGTCTGATTTGGATTAAGATATAATTCGCGGCCAAACTGTTGGGACCAATTGGCGGCCAATGTCTTGGCGTCGAACCCAATCCATTCCGTGTATCGGAAATATGAGTTTCCCATAGAATAGCCCATAATCTTGATATCGTTGAGCGCCGGCTGATCGCTATTGGCCTGTGATTTAGCACTCGGTCGCGGGTATTGACTGAATGCCACGGATTTCCACCATTTCTTAGCATTTTGTCGGTCATGCAAAAGCGGTTTTAGGGAAACCCCTTCACTGCACATCAATTCTGTGACATTTTCTCGACAAATGTGTGGCACCGGAAGACCGGCCAAATCAGCCAGTGTTGGGAATATGTCGACCAACTCTACCACTGCCTTCATTTCATTCAAAGCACTTCTATTCGCTTTCTTAACCTTTGGATCAAATGGATTCATGTGATGATAATTTAGTGTTTTATTCAGTTTGGGCGCAGATATAATGAGCGGCACTTTAAGGGCGACATCAAAGTTGCTATATTTGGCCCATTCGTTGTGTTCACCCAAAGACCAGCCGTGATCTCCCAAAAGCATTACAATCGTATCGTTGGCTAAATGTTTATCATTCAACTTCTGTAAAACACTTCCGATCAGATCATCGATGTATGAAACGCACGCATAATATGATTGACGGATATATTTCTGATAGTAATCGGGAATAACACCAAAAGGGAAACTAATGTTAAACTGTTTGATGTCTTGTCTGTCCTTCAGATCCATCCATGGATTCCAAGCAACTTCTGGGAAGTGTTTCGGTAGGTATTGATTTTGGGCCAATTGAATGGTGTCTAATGGGTATAAATCCAAGTATTTTTTGGGGCATTTCAGGGGAATGTGTGGCTTATGAAAGCCGACGGCCAGGAAGAATGGCTTCACGTCAGACGTGTTATAGTTGTCTAGAAAATCAATGGCAAACTTTGCTGACTGTATGTCTGGTAGCGTTTGTTCCGGTTGTTTGTCTACATCTACGGGACAGACAATGTTAGCGCGATATAAGCCGTCAGCTGACGGACAAACGGCCCAATTCTTGTACTTCTCTGCGGAGCCGTGAAATGGGGGCGAAGACCAACTGATGGGGTAATCGTTGCTATGGTTGGACACAATTCCCGGATGAAACACTTTGCCCACACTTTGCGTGTAATACGAGTATTGTTTGAAATATTGGGGCAAAGAAGTGAAATTAGCGACACTTTTGCGCCAATAAGAGTGACTG